GCAGTCAAAAGTGTATGAGAAATGCAGTTTATCACAAAATTATGTAATTGTTTATCTGTTTGTCACCACCACATATGTGCTTTTGTGTGTACGTATGTGTAGCACTCTATCCTCAGACAAGGAATGAAAGAGGTCTGTGACAAGAGCATTCAAAGAATATGAAGGAGTTGCCTAGATTTAGATGTATAAACTCATCTGTTAAAATCAATCATTCAGCTGAATTCAAATTTAGGGTCAGTTTGCATTTAGGAAGGGGAGTGACTTTAGGGTTCAGGAATTGGGCTGCACATCTTCCTGCTGGTGAAGCATACCTATTCCTCATTTCCATGCTGGCACTGGTTCCAGGGGAATTCATTAAAGCCCTGCTCCCACACTAAGCAGTAACCACGCTACGATAATGATTTCCAGCAATGCTAGGAGAACTTTTGCACATCATCTTATTTAATTATTTATTTTAATTTTAATTCACTATGACAATCTCTTGAGATACGCAACTCATTTTCATGAGGGCTCCCAGGAGACAGCAATCAAACAAGTCTACTCTGCAGTACCATATATAGTTATAACACAAAAACATAGAGCAGGACACTCAATCTAAAATTGCAGACAACAGCATTGAGCAGTAAGCATCTTAGAGCATCAGCTTAACCAACAATTTAGAGGAATTTAAAAGATTCAGTCCCATGTTTGTTTCAGTCCCTCACAATTAAAGTAACTAAAAGTTTCTTCTGTATTTTCTTCCAATTATGTTAACCATTCAGTCTCTTCCTGTCTTTATAATTTCATCACCAACAAGCTAGACTTTGCCATGAATACTTAAAGGGGGCCTGCAATGGATTGTTTGTTTTTTAAAGTGGGGGCGAGCTCTCAGACTTTAATTGAAGGAATGTGGGAGATGAATCTTTATCAGTGAGATCTTTTCTCCGTTAATTAAGTATTGGATTTTTTAAAGTTTTCACTAAACCCCCTAAGTATTTTAAACAGTCTCACTAAAAATTCCTACGTCTTTCAATGGTTCAGGTTTTAGTCTCTGATGTCATAATGTAAATATTTCTCTGGTCATCCTACAGTATATCAAGGTAGTCAAGAAATGGAATTCTAACATAAAAACCTAGCAGCAACCATCCTTCCATCTTTTTATTATTATTAAAAAAAAATAAAAAAAAAAATAAAAAACTTTCAGAACTTAGTCATACATAGTAAAGGAAGAGGAAACACCACCCAGATACATCCTTTTGTAGGTCATATTTACTAGATAATTTCCAGACTGGGTAGCAGGGTGGATAAAAATGATGATTTTTTAAAAATAAATTTTGTAATTTAAATTGGATTTTTTAATTTAAATTAGATATGGGGGATTATAAATAACCCAATTTAAAATTAAATTTGAAATTATGACAACCTGTAGTAAGGCTTCAATTTACTATAATCTATTTAAATAATTTAAATTATATGCCTGTAGTACACGCTTCCATCAATTTTAAAGAAAATCAAACCATTGAACTGGTGGAGGTCGTTGGCTAAGCACCTGGAACCAGGTTTAGTTAAAGTGCTGAGTGAACATTTGATAACAGTAGCCTCTCTGTAGGTACAGTTTATTCAACTAGTTTAGTTCAATGACTAGTTTACTAAAAGTTGAAAAACTACTGAGAATAAAAACAACAACAACAACCCAGAAAAGGTGGTTTTCCTCTTCCAATCTATAAACACAAACTAGATGTGAGAGGATGAGATCTATTATTTCTAAAATCTTGAAGAACATGGTGACCAGAAATGGTCAGTTCCAATCAGTAACTACAGATCATACTTCCTTTGTTTAATAAATCTTTTTTTTTAATGCAAAACTTATTTTGATATTTTTTCTTATGTATCCAACAGAGATGGGTTTATTTAACTAATTGCAAACAACGTTTTAAAATGCTGGTTTTGCACATTTTTAATTTGAATTTTTATCCCAATAGAGCTTGACACAAATCATAAGTACAAATTTAATCATTTAGTAAATAAGAAGTGCATCAGTCACTATTTTATAACATAAAAATGTAGAAACTAAGAATCTGAATAATTTTAAATTAATCTATATAGTCACTTAAAAATAAATGAGCAAGCAGTGCTTTCCACAAAACCAAATCAGAAATTTCCACAGAAAAGGCAAGTTGGGTAATAATGAGTTCAGATAAATTTTGTATACTGCTTAACTGCTCCATTGAGAAAAATTTCACTGTATATTGTTTATTAAAGGGTTTCTGGGTTTTTTGCTCTTCATTTTTTTGTGCTGTGTATAATGCCTAATGGGCTGTTCCCTTGAATCCTCCAAAATGGAAGTGAGGGAAGAAAAGAGTAATCTTTAAAAAGATAAAAAGTGTGGCATTTTTGTTTTGTAAAGTACTATTTAACTTTCATTTAATTCGCATGTATTTATATTGGAATGTATCAATACCTAATTTATTGTAATAGTTTTTCATAAGTAAGTGAATTGTTAGGAAGAAATCTCATGCTTCAGGGCATAAACTAATTTCCTGCTGGGATGAGAAAGAAATGCTTTCTCCTAAGTGCAGAAGGATGGTCAGGGGCTGGGCACAGAAGTATGTGCCAGGAATCCTGTATTCTGTCTCTAACTCTGTCACAGACTTCCTACACTATCTGGTTGTGGCAAATCCCTCAAATTGTCCTTGATTCATTTCCCTGTTTGTAAAAGGGGGATGATATTTACTGCACAGGGGCGTTGTTTAGAACTTAATTCATCAGTGTTAGAAAAACACCTTGTAAGGCAAATGTTTTAGTAATAGAGTATTAAAGATGGCTCGGTACATTGCTATTTTTGTTCATCATGTCATTTACCACTGCTGGAGCTGAGATGAGGTACAGGGGACCAATGGTTTGATCCAGTGTAGCAAATCCTCTGTGAGTCTTCCAGAGAGAGAGAATGAAAGTGGCATCAAGATAAACTTTAAAGTCTATACAGATCTTTTCTCTTGGGTGGAAAATACTGTATTATTACCCTCATCCAACTGCCCACTGTTCCAAACTACATGCTTGCAATGTAAAATATGTCTCTCTTGTGGGTAATTCTACCTGTTAATTAGCACCAAAAGTTTAGGCAGGCATTTGCTCTGATGACATCTGATGAACTGTATTTGGACTCAGTACAAATACTGAAAAAGAGTAGCTAGTGTTCTGCTGGGGATATTCCTGTGAAATGTGTGAATAGAAAGACAAAGAAATCCATAAACCATAAGAATTGGTGAACTTCTGCTCCTATATGTCCCCTCTGATTTCTAATTTCTTGTCTTACTGTTTTCTAAAGTTTCCATCCTCCCCTCTTTCCCCCCCCCCGGGGGCATTTAGGTAGAAAAGATTTCTTCTGACTGTCAGTGTGTGTGTTCAGGTTACTACTGTATTCCCTTCTACTGTCATATTAAATGGTTAAACAATACAGCAAAAAGGGCAGAGGTGTGGTTATCATAAGATAAACACTCCCATTGGTGTGAGGGAAAACAGTATGTTCCACATAGAAGTTGCTTTATTATATCTGTAAAAACAAACAAAAAACAACAAAGATGTGTTTTTCTCCCCATCAGGAATATTGTGTTCCTTTACCTCAAAAATATTTCAATATCAATGACTCAGAAACATCTTCTGGCAAAAAGGGAAGGATGGGGGAAGCAACCCAGTGTTACACAAGTAAAATTATCTGTGATGTTTATCGATAACATTATGACAGGGGAGAGGAGCAATAGAAAACAGATAACTTTCATATGAATACACAAAAAACTGAAGTGAATCTCATCTTTAAAATAGATTCCGTAATAGCTAATTTACCTAATTACAAGCTTGCTCCATATCTATTGGAGGGCAGTTTTAATTCTAACTCTGCGGTGAATATTTGTACATATGATTTCAGACCTTGGGTATAGTCAGTGTCTGACATCTGCAGAGATTATATGTTGCTACAGAATTCTGGTAATAGAACAAACTCCTTGTCAAGGAGAACATTAGCCTTTCATTGGATCCTGAGAAGATTCGGGGGGACTTTTTATTTTCTATTTCCACCCCCCTACCATTACATTTTAAAGACTGATCTTTTATCCAAGGCTAATTTTCCTTTTTTAAGGTGGGGGAGAAAAGGGACTTTTATTACTGGGAAACAAGTGCCTATCTTATACAATTTGAAGCCCTGCTGATGTTTCAGACCAACAATGCTCACTTTTTAATTTGTTTTATGTACGTATTTCCGGAATGCTCCAGATAATCCTGGAGACTGAAGCCCTCTATGCAGCCACATAGGAGGTAAAACACAGGCACTATCAGTTTATGATTTGGTCACACAGTTCTGACAACTTGCCTCAGTTCTGACCAGGAGTCTCCACACTCATTCTTTTTTTGCCTTTTTGTTTTAAACTACCAGTAGCCATGACGGTGGTTTTCATAATGTTGGACCTCTGTCCAGTTGAAAGTTCGTGGAGACCAAGAATTCATTTCACATAAACTGCCAAACACTATCAATCAGGTAGCAGTGGTTTTTGATTACTACCAACTTGGACCCGATGCTGTCACCCTGAACCAGTAGGTGAAAGCCCCAATCTGATACTACCAGAGTCCCTTGAGTCATCCAGTCCTTACATTGCACATATTTTATTCACTTTTAAAAAGCCATGCTAACTTTTAAGGTGCTTTCATAAAAACAATCAGAAAACACTTCCACAAAAGGTTGAAAAGAAATGTTGATTGGTGTAGGACCCTTTTACAGAACCAATTAGCACAGCAGTGGGTACACCACCTTTTGAGGTTGAAAAGCTGTAATTACTGTTTTTAGTGATGTGTAAGTGGTTTTCATTTTTTCCCCTTCTATTAGGTATAAAATGGTTGGCTGTGGCAGTCTATTGTGAAGACCTCGGAACAAATACCAGAAATTTCTCCACTCAGTTCTTCATGATGTAAATGCAGTGTGACCTTTCCCCAATGGGCAGTTAAACCATGGACATACTAAAAAAAAAACATTTTGGACTGTTTTTCTAAACCAGGCTTCACCTTCCCTCTTGGGGACCTATTAAGGGATTACATCTGAAAAGAAAAACAAAAGAGAGAAGGAAACATTGAACTGGAAAGTTATCCTACAATGAGAATTATGAGCACATCTTGTATCTGCCCAGTCCTAGTTTGTCTCTGTTTTGTGCAGAGGTGTTATGGAGCTGCTCATCATGGCTCCATCAAGGTGACCAGAAATCAAACCAAACACATAGAAGGTGAAACAGAAGTGCACCATCGTCCCAAGCGTGGATGGGTATGGAACCAGTTCTTTGTTTTAGAAGAACACCTGGGACCAGATCCCCAGTACGTGGGAAAGGTAAGGTCTTATTTCTTTTCTGTAAAGGGGTACAGGGACATTAGGAGAGGAACATATTTTTCTAGATGCCAACCTAGTTGATGTCTCCTGTAGAGTTGGAAGCACCTCAGAAGTCAATGATGTTACAGACATTCACAAATTATTTGCCCATTATCCCTATTTATTTACAATAATAATCATGATGAGTAAAAAAGATGACATAACTATAACATTCACTATACTGCATCATCCTTAGTGTTTTATGTTAAAAAGACAATCAAGGGCTGCTGGAGCAACTGCTGCAGTTCACACTCCTCAGTGAGATTCTGTACTATCCCAAATGCAACATGTTCAATATACCATTACACATAGATGCTGACTACTTCAGAACGAGTTGCAAATCTTCCCTGAGAAATTTAGGGACAAGAGTTGTCCATCAAAGTGTAGGCCAACTTTGAGATCCATGTGAAGAAGCACCATTCTGGAGCGAGTTTCATTGGGACTCTTCCTCTATCAGAAGGTACATGATATGCTTCCCTCCACAGCTGGCCATGTATGTATCTGGGGGGTAATGGCACCATATCTACCACATCCATTTAGGGGGCAACTTTAAAGTAGTAGGAGCCCAACGAGAGTGCAAGGACTACATTTATGTCTGGCTTTTATGCAGTGAGTTCAGGGGAAAGGTCCTTATACTTTCCCACCACCCTTACGCTCCTGTGTAGGTGCCAGCCAAAAACTGGCTCCCAGCATGTAATGTTGTCTGTATGAGATAATTCATGCTAAAAAAAAAGTCATTACAAGAACATGAAGGCTGCGAAGTGTCATTTCCTGACTTCTGAGAGCCTCCAAGTTACAGGCAGTCTAAACACTGTTCTCTTCTACACATTATGATACAGCCTTTCATTAAATCATTTTAGTTTTTCCTTAGGACCCCCACCTCATTCATTGCTCAGGATGGACGGTGCTCAGGAAATGAGGCAGCTATTCATTCCCGCCCCCCCCGCATCTTCCACATTCAATGTGTGGCCCCATCCCTCATTTGCTGCACTCAGTTCAATCTCTGCACCGAATAAGGATATTATTTTTCCTTCTTTCTTCATAGGGTTCTCTTTGATGCTAACCATTTTAGTATCTTAGTGCCTCACAAAAGTTAGTGAATTTATCTTTGCAGCAACTTCCTTACAATGGGAGGTATCAATATTCCATTTTACGTTTGGCAGTAGTTCTGATATTCTAATTTAGTGTAGAGATTGACCATTATCATCTTAGGTAGCTTTATTTATTATTATTTTTATTCAAAAAGGGAAATCTGGCCAGTAGAGATTAAAATAATACTACAGTAGTAATCAACAGAATTTAAATCATGGTTGCTGTGTTATAATGTCTCTTCATTTTGAGAAATAGGTTTCTGAACTGCTGTGATTTCTACGGTAATTTCATCTACATTATCTAGGTTTTATTTGATGTGCCTTTAATTTGACAAGAGATTTTCCTACCAGGACCCTAGATTTATGAAGGAGTACATGGGTGGGTGTGTCTCTGTAATTCTAGGCATCTGTTCAATGTCACTGACCTGCCAATGCTGTAAATTATTAATCCAGTCATCTATTCTGCCTCATTGGTGTTAGCGTTAGATACATGCCCTTTCACATTTTTCATGCCCAGTTTAGGAATAACATCACAAGAAGAGAATCATTATGTAAAATGCTGTTATAATGTTGCAGTCATTGTCACTGTAACGTACAGTAAGGACTAGAATATGTCTCTAATCAAAATGGTGAGGTAGCTCATCCTTATTATGAGGATGGATTAATTTTTTGTATTGACTGTGTCTTGTACAGCATGTGCTCAGACACATAGGCCTTAATTTATACATACTCATCTAGTCTGACCTCGTACACATTGCAGGCCACAGAACCTCACCCACCCATTCCTATAATAGACCCATAATCACTTGGTGAGTTATTGAAGTCCTCAACTCATGATTTAAAAACTTCAGGTTACAGAGAATCCAACTTTTACACTAGTTTAAACCTGCAATTGACCCATGCCCCATGCTGCAGAGAAAGGCGAAAAAGGTTCTCTGCCAATCTGACCTGGGGGGGAATTCTTTCACAATCCTAAATATGGCAATCAGTTAGATACTGAGCATGTGGGCAAGATCCACCAGCCAGGCACCTGGGAAAGAATTGTCTTTAGTAAGTCAGAGCCCTCCCCATCTAGTGTCACATCACTGGCTGTTAGGGATATCTGCTACCTGCAGTTGCAGATTGGCTACATGCCATTGTAGGCAGTCTTATTATACCACCCACTCCATAAACTCATCAAGCACAATCATGAAGCCAGTTAGGTTGTTTGCCCCCACTAATCCTTTTGGAAGGCTTTTCATTCCTCTGATGGTTAGAAACCTTCCTTTAATTTCAAGCCTAAGCTTGTTGATGGCCAGTTTAGATCCATTGGTTCTTGTGTCCATATTAGCACTTAACTTAAATAACTCCTCTCCCTGCCTGGTATTTATCCCTCTGGTGTATTTATAGAGAGCAATAATATCTCCCCTCAGCCTTCTTTTGCTTAGGCTAAACAAGTTAAGCTCTTTGAGTCTCCTTTCCTAAGGTAGGTTTTCCATTCCTCTAATCATCCTAGTAGTCCTTCTTTGCACCTGTTCCACTCTGAATTCATCTTTCTTAAACATGTGAGACAAGAACTGCACACAGCAATCCAGATGAGGTCTCACCAGTGTCTTCTATAATGGTACTAACACTTCCCTATCTCTACTGGAAATACTTCGCCTGATGCATCCTAGGATTGCATTAGCCTTTTTCACAGCCGCATCACATTGGTGGCTCACAGTCACCCTGTGATTAACTAATACTCCCAGGTCTTTCTCCTCTGTCACTTCCTATGGATAAATCCCCATTTTATAGCAAAAATGTTATTCCCTAAGTGCATGACTTTGCACTATCTGGGGTGCATCAATATCCAGGCCACTTCCCCCCAGTGGCTACTGGAGATGGGAGAGTGGGCCCGGGCTTGCCCACTACTCTGGATCCCAGCCCATGGACCCTGTAGAGTGCCGGTGTCTGCTGTGTCCCTTTAACAATGTTGCATGGCTTTTCTAATTCCCTGGGCCACTTCCCCACAGCTCCACAGCATCTTCACCCTTACCTCAAGGCCTTGTCCTAATGGAGTCCTAGCAACCAACTCATGGCTCCTTCTCACTCTCCCCAGCTTCTGGCTGCGCTGCCCTGTCTGGGGTTCCACATTGCTACAGCTCTAGCAAGGAACTGAACTCCCTCTTTCCCTGCAGCTCTTCTTAGGCTACGTCTTCACTACGGGGGGGGGTCGATTTAAGATACGCAAATTCAGCTACGCGAATAGCGTAGCTGAATTCGACGTATCGCAGCCGACTTACCCCGCTGTAAGGACGGTGGCAAAATCGACCTCCGCGGCTTGCCGTCGACGGCGCTTATTCCCACCTCCGCTGGTGGAGTAAGAGCATCGATTCGGGGATCGATTGTCGTGTCCCGACGAGACGTGATAATTCGATCCCCAAGAGGTCGATTTCTACCCGCCGATTCAGGCGGGTAGTGTAGACCTAGCCTTATACTAGGCAGCTGGGCCCTGATTGGCTGTGTCCCACACAGCCACTCTAAGCAGCTTGGAAGACCCCCTCAACTTCCCTTTTTTGGGGCACGGTGTGGCAGGGCCACGAGGCCTCTGGCAGGGAGCCTCAGAGGATCTGGTATACCCTGTCACATAGGTACTATATTAGCAATCCTCCATTCATACGATATAACCCCCTAATTTACAGATTAATTAAAAATCCTTGCTATTGTTATTTTTAAATTTCATATTCCAGTTCTTTAATATTCTTGGATGGAGATATCTGGGTGCCCTGATTTAGTCACATTAAGCTGTTGATTATGACTTTGACATTGTATGTGGTAATTTCTACTTCCATATTCTTATTTCCATTAGCCATCCTGCCACTACCCCTAAGGTTTTCATTGCCCTTATTAAAAACTGAGACAAAGTATTTGTTTAGGTGTTGGCCCATGTCTAGATTATCTTTAATCTCCGCCCCATCCTCAGTGTTTAGTGGTCCCACATCTTCTTACCTTGCTTTCTTTTTATTTATATATACTCGATCATAAGCCGGTTCGTTTATAAGCTGACCCCCCCAAGATGGATAAGTAAAAATGGAAAATTTTTATAACCTGTTCATAAGCCAACCCTATAATTCAGGGGTCAGCAAACGTTGGCTCCCGGGCCATCAGGATAAGCCGCTGGTGGGCCGAGATGGTTTGTTTACCTTGAGCGTCCACAGGCATGGAGGTAAACCTAAGTAAACAAAGTGTTCCGGAGCTCCAGCTGCTTACCCTGATGGGCCAGGACAGCAACTGGTGGGGAAATTTTTTTGGTGGGGAGAAGCTGGGAGTCGGGGGAGTAAACCCTGTGACCACCCCCCACATGACCCCACCCCTAGCCCAGGACCCCCACACTCCCCATCCCATCCCAGGGGGAGGATGTCTCTGGCCTGGCTGGAGCTGTTCCGGCAGGCTGGGCAGCGCGGCTGCAGCCTGCTCCGGAGGGCCAGATCGGGCAGCGCGGCCACAGCATGGTCCAGCAGGCTGGGCTGGGCGGCGTGGCCACAGCCTGCTCTGGGGGGCGGGGCCGAGCGGCACGCCTGCAGCCTGCCAGCCCTGGAGCTGTAGCTGCTTTGGAGGCTGGGGAAGAGCAGCATGGCCAGAAGCAGAGAGACTCTGGCCCCGCCTCTTCCCTTCTGGCTCTGCTGACTGTGCTGCCTCTCCTTGCTCCCTCTGTTGGGAGGAGGGGCTGTGTCCCACCTCTTCCTCTATGCACCTGTTCATAAGCTGACCCCCTTCTCTGGTGCTTCCCTTTTTTACTAAAAAAATTCAGCTTATGAACGAGTATAACTATAGTACCTTTTACTATTGGTTGTAATCTCCTTTGCAAGGCCCAACTCTGCTTAGCTTCTGGCTGTTCTCACTTTCCAC